TCATCATCATCATCATCATCATCATCATCATCTGTAACAATAGAAACAGACATTTGGCTTTGGAAGGTGAGGAATAAAGTAATGATTTCAGGACAAAAGCACTTCTGAAAGTTTGTTCAGGGCGGAGCTTAGATTCATTCATTCGACACATTTTCTTTCTGATCAACACAAAACTTCACTGAGTTGTAAAAATGTAAATGTTGTGTTTTGAATTGGCGCTAAATAAATAAACTGAATTTAGTAGAATTATACAAAAGCAAATAAAGCTTCGGGTTGGACATTTGACCCCGTTCCTTTAAAAAATGGTAAAGCGGATCCAAATGAGTGGATTTGAATTTAAAATAATCCATTCGTTGTAGGCTGGTTAGTTTTGGACCCTTGTCCTGTTGGACACCAACCTGTCCACATTTCAGGCAGAGCAGCCAATGGCCGCAGTGACTGTAAACAAACCTCTCCTCTTCGTTTTCACTCCACCTGTCATTGTCAGCTAAACACAGATTTGCTTTTCTTCACAGGAAGTTTGGCTGGAATGAGCAGACAGACATTTCTAAACAGGCTTCTTATCGGACAGACCACCTCAGACCTGCTCACAGTCAAACCTGCTTCTCAGAACCTTTGGGCTGTTCTTCAGCTTCTAAACCTTTGATTTGAAGGCGACAGTTTGAGCCAGAGGCCTAAAAGTAGGACGTGTTTTAAAAGGATCCTGGTTTGAAATCAATCAAACCGTTTGTGATTGGGCGGGACCTGCAGAATACCGATCCTTCATGCTGATGTTGGTCCTGATGCATCAACTGGTTCCAGATGAGTCCAACTTTATCGAGTCCACACAACGTTAACATTTACACTTTTGCTTTTATCTAGATCGACTTCATATAAAATCCTCACTGGGGCATTTTGTCTGAAAATCTGGTTCTATTTAACATTTGAAGTGGTTTAATAAAAAAAGGTTGTTTTGTTCTTTGATCTGTTGACATTTTCTCCATAAAGAATCTTGATATTTGTTACGAATTGAAGATTTGGAAACAGGAATAAATGTAGTTGCTTGTTTTCAGTGGAGTTTTTTTTAATGGAAGATGATATTTTCCTTATTCTCAGTATTAAAGCTGCTGTCAGCTTCTTACCTGGTTAACCTGCTGGGATCTCCTGACTCAGGCGTCCACGGTCCTCACACAGCTTTACCAAACAGATCTGGGATGATTCATGCTCTCCATGCAGCTTTGCAGCCAAAATTAAAGCCCCGCCCCTTTGTAACAGAGATGCGCTGAAGCAGGTTGTGATCATTTGATTTATTGAATGAATGATAGCAGGTTAAAGAAATCTGGAGTCATGTTTTCACATGATGTTTCATAAATCACAGGTTTTTACCAAACAACAAGAGAAAAGTACACAACCCTGACATCTCTTTACAATTTGATAAAAAAAGAACAGCTGTTTCTCTCTTTTCCCAAACACTCGTTCCCTGAAACATCATTAGCAAAAATACCGAGGTAATATTTTACAGCAGATAAATTCAGATGTCTTTAATATTTGGATTCAGATGAAATGTTCTCCTTATAACAGTGTGTCTGAAATGTGCATTAAGAAATTCAGCACTTTAGAAAAAGAAATGTGGCACGCCATGACACTGAACACACACATGAGCAACACTTCCTGTCCGTAGCAGTTTGACATGAAGGCACAGCAGAGTGGAAATGAAAGTCAGAGCTGAGCGCAGGTTCAGCGCCATTAATGCTCCACAGAGAAAGAAAGAGACCACGAGATATGGGGAAAGAGAGAAACTCTGACGGGATTAAAGCTTAGATGGATTAATTTAGGTGTTGGCCCTCCTGCACCCCCCAACCCCCCCTCGCGCTTTATTCTCCCTCTGCCTGTCTCCCCATCTCAGTCCCACTATCACTGTCTCTCTTTCTTTCTCTGCAGATTCACATAAAGATCCATGTCAGTCTGAGCCAAAACAAAGGAGATGAACCTTGTTTTCAAATGAAACACAAATCAAAAGATCTCAGACTAGTGACCCCCCCCCCCATGACTGAATCCCAAGACGGGCTTGGCTTGTGTGGAATTGGTTTTTGGTTCTTTCTCTCTCTTTCAAATCATTGCTTCTGCAGTCCCCAGTTCATATCTAGCGTACTGTACGAAGGACCTCGGACAGTTGGACTTCAGGTGGGCCAGTTCAATTTCCCCAGACTGCTCATAACTCTAGTTAGGCAGAAAAAAAGAGCAGAGAGTCAGAGACAGCAGGAAAATAAACAGCTGCAAGGAGTGGAGGAGGGACTGATAACCAATCAGCTAACAGACATTCACCATGAGATGATCAGCTTGGAGGAGGGGCTAATGCTAGCATTAGCCCCTCCTCCACTTCTGCTATCAGTCCTGTAACATACTGGCAAACTGGTGTATGTAAAGCATCACTATCGGTGACATCAGCC